GCATAGCGTATACTGCCGCGCTGATTGGAGATCCAGAGGCTTTCGAAGCCTTCATCCAACTCACACAGTACTACACCAAGGTCTGCCCCCGGTAGCTCACGTGGTGCTGCGACAGCAGCAAACAGCCGTACTCTCTTCTTACCCTCCCTCTAACCCTCCCTCTCCCTCTCCCCCACTTCTCTAGCACTTACCTGCTTCGGGCACTTACCTGCCTTGGAACACACACGAGGGATTCACCCTGATGTACACGAACTGCTCAGTCTCCCCAACTGGAAGGGGAGCTGTAGCTCCGATATGGTAGCAATACCCGCGCAGGCAAGAAATGCTTTCTAAGGTAGTGTGCTAGCACTGTAATTCCATAGCTTAGCACGTCGTATATGCCCTTTGGGAGGCGAGATGGTGGACTTGATCCCCATCAACTAGACGTAAAATGAATACCAACCAACCAACCAACCTCTCCAGCCAGAGGTGATACTTAAACGATTCAATCAGCCAGCTCAATCAGGCCAATCAAGCGATAGCGACTCCTCAGCCTTGAGCGCTTCTGACTAGCGGAAAACTGAGCGCCTTATACGCTAGGTAGTAGGTGATAGGAGTAATCTATAAGCTTAAAAGCTTAGCTGAGTCTTCCACTCTATCTTAGTTTAAAAAACGCTAATTAAACACGAGGCTTAAGGCCTCATGCAGGCTCTTATTAATAAGAGGCAGCGTAGAAAGCGAGGCAAGGCTCTCCCTCTAGAAGCAGGCGAGGAGTATCACGGTGGCGCTATATTCTGGTCCCCAAGGAAGGTGAAGGAGGCACGTGATTGCCAGCACCAACAAGAGCTTGAAGAGGAGCAACTACAACACCAGAAGGCTGAGACAGCTCGCGTACGTGAGGAGCAGAGGCAGGAGAAGCTTAGGAAAGTTGAGGCAAGGCGTGCAGCAAGAGCAGCAGCTTAATTAATAAGGCAAGAGGAGAAGGCTCGTAAGGCTGCTGATTGAGCCTCACGACAGGCAGCTTGTAGGACTCAACAACGACTCAAGCAAGCTCAAAAAACTGCCTAAAGAGGCAAGACAACACGCTCTAAGGCAGCTACTAAGGCAGGTTCTAAAAAGAGAGTAGCTACGCAGCCTCAGGGTGGTGGTCAGGCCTCAGGTGCTGTAGCAGGCCCACCACCATCTCAATCACGACACGGCCGAGCAATCAAGCTCCCAGCTAAATATAGATAGCTGCATATATAAATTAATACCTATAGAACTTAATCCTAAAAAATATCGCGATTACAGCTATTGTACGTAGCTTAATAGCTTCATATTAGGGTGTTGATTTTGGTCATTGGATCGATGGTTACGCCGTCCCGATGGTTACGCCGTCCGCCTCGGTATAAGTTCTAGTTAGAAAGTAGACTCCCACGCCTTATAGAATAGGTGGAAGAAGTCGCTCTTATGCACCCCCAACAAGCCTTGGCTATTGTGAAGGTGCGATACAGCGGCGGCAGAGTACTGAGTAGCAAGAGGAGCAAACAGCACTACGTCGAGCGGCTGAAGCACATGTGTAGCGTGTGGAGGAAAGATTAGTAGCAGAATCCGGTGGCGATCGCAGTAATCGATGAAAGCCATCGTCAAATGAGAGCCGTGGCCATCGACAATGAGCAATCGCCAGCTTCTGCGCGCTTTCTTCTTGGTGTAGCAGTCAAACAGCTGCTCAACCCACGCTAATCCTACACTGTTGTTTGTCCAGCCTGAGGGAGTTGCAGTGACAAAGACGCTGTGTTTTCCTTCTTCTATATCCTCCACCTATGTACTCTGTATAGTGTTGTCGGCGCCCGTAAAAATGATGCCTGGAGGCAGAGCACTCCCGTCAGCGCACACGCTTGCCAGCAGTGTCACCCACTCTCTGTTGCCATCCTGTAGCGCTTGTGTAACTTTTCCTTGCTCAAATGAGTGCTTAGAGAACACGCGCTTGCTCCTTCCAATAAGGCCTATAGCAAAGCCTTTCTCGTCCATATTGTACGTGTTGCAGGGCAGGATGTTGTATTTTTTAATTGCAGAGTACAGCGTATCAAAATAGCGCTTGTACTTATCCTCTGATGAGGCGTAGTGGCGCTGGCGATCTATAGCGTGGCTCCATTTCTATAGGAGAGTCTCAGTGTGACGGTGCAGGAAGTCAGACACCTAGGTGTTGCTAACGCTCTTGTGAGCAAGTTTGGACGCAAAATTTTGTATTATTTGCCTTTTAGGTGCTAGGTGACGCTCTGTGAGGTCTTCTATATAAGCAGCAAGCTTATATTCCTGTTCTGTTGTGAGTTTTTGTAGTTGTTAATAGGCGTCTGCACGCGACGTGGTTACGCCTCTTGCCCTCTGCAACACTGTTAATCGCGACACATTTATCACATCAGCAACTTCCTGGTACGAAAATGATCTGTCTAAGCTTGCTGCGCGTGCCTTTTTAATAGCTAGGGAAACAGAGTCCATTTGGTGGAGTTATGGTGTTGAGGATTTTGGGATGTTTTGGTGATCGCGTGCATGAGCCCGAGCCGTGCACGAGCCCGGCGGACACGGTATCTGGAAACCCACCAACGGACAATCGACGAAGGTACCTCGCAGTTAGGCCTACACACAAGCGGTCAAAAAGAAATAGAGCAGGAATTTTGGGACATCGTTGGTGATGATAGATCTACGTATGGTCCCTCCAAGGAACGCGGCTCGAGTAAACGCAATTCGAAGATGTGTGCTCCTCAACTCGGCGTCGTGGACTGAGCAATTGTTGTCCATTGCGCGCACGTGAACAGCGGCGAAGACGCGTCATTTGCGGCGGCGATGCGCGCCCGTACTGACCAACTCTACACCGTTTCCCCCTTCCCTGCTTACCTATTCTTACATTTTGTAATGTTTATTTCCCTTCTAGAACGCTGAGATCGGTGACATTTCGCACCTGCACTCAGATGCACCGCCGAACAAACCTGCTTGTGGAGCGTTGACAACGCTCGCAGCACCATGACCATCGTCTTCTCCTCCCTTGTACGCCCTGCGATATTACGACGGCCTTCGACCGACCCACACGTAGCAACAGGCTCACGGCCATCAGATTGTAACGATGCTGCAGAAGAGACCAATTTGCGCAATCTCAACGACTCCCTGCAAGCCTTAACACATATCTTTCCAGATGTTCAGCCTGAGGTCTTCCGGGAAATGCTAGCTTCCTTTAGCGAAGAAAGCCGGCTGCAAGTCATAACAGAGGCACTTCTGAAGCATGGCGATAAATGGGTCCGGGGGCGTCACAGGATGCCAGCAGAGCAGGAAGAGCAAAGGGAGACGGCGCACAAGTACAAGTACCGCGAGCGAGACACCGGCAAAGATACCCGTGGCAAACCTCTGGTGCTTGAGGACACATTTCGCTCAAAGTCCTACAAGGAAGCGGCACAGCAGGCGCTGTATCAGGAATTCAAGGGCCTGAGCCATTCGACAATCAGGGCTGTGCTGGCAGAGTTCAACTGGAGCTACACGCATGCACGGCCAACGCTTCTCGGCTTATCGAGCAAGAGCTGGAGGTCGAGCATCACGAACTTCCTTATGCGCCGAAAAGCGCCATCTGCGAATGACCACCCGCTGGTGCTGTGGACAGCTTCAGACGCAAGGACCGGCCGCCCACGCGCTCCGCTACTTGTTAAGACCAAGGACGGTGAGCTGAATCGAGAGCTATACGAGAACCTCATAGTACCTGAGTTGGCTAGGCAGCGCAGCGAGCAGCTACGACAGGACTTAGACTTGGCATGGAAGTTGCACGAAGAGGAGGCCGCTCGAGAGGGCGAAATGTACGATTGCGAGTGTTGTTTCATACCAAATACTCTGGAGCAGATGTCTACTTGTGACATCGACGGTCACTATATCTGCTTCCGCTGCATTCGACACGCCATTAGCGCTGCGCTGTACGATCAGGGCTGGGCACGCAACATCAATACGGAGCTATGCACACTCAAATGCATAGCACCCATGAACGATGCAGACTGTCAGGGATGCATACCGCTTGATTTCGTTCGCCGTGCATTGCTGGAGGAGAAAGACGGTGATGACAACGTCACAAAACTTCATGAACGCTTCAACAACGAGGCGCTTATCAAATCGCAGCTACCACTAGCTCGTTGCCCATTCTGTTCGTACGCTGAATTGGATGACTTCGCCCTTGCGAATGCAGAACTACTCGCAAACCTTCGACTCAAGCCCAGGCCTCTCGTTCTGGCATCGCTCACGTCCGTCCCGCTCCTCGAATTAATTTGTTTCAAAGCCGCTCAAACCATCGTCTTCCTCCTCGTCCTACTCTACGCCTCCCTCGCGCTCCTCTTCCGCATTCCAATCATCGCGCCCTTCCAGTCTGCCCTTCGCCGAATCCACCTCAAGCGTCGAGGTCTCCGCTTCCAGTGCTTCTCGCCAACCTGCGGCCGCGCATCCTGCTTATCCTGCTCCGCATCCTGGCACGACCCGCACACCTGCTACTCCTCGCAGCTTACATCTCTCCGCCTGACGCTAGAGCGCGCAACAACCGATGCGGTGAAACGCACCTGTCCGCAGTGTAATCTTGGTTTCGTCAAGTCAGAAGGTTGCAACAAGCTCGTCTGCTTGTGCGGATACTCGATGTGCTACGTTTGCCGACAGGGCTTGGCTGAAGAGGGATATCACCACTTCTGTCAGCACTTCCGCGAGAGGCCTGGCGAGACGTGCAGGGAGTGCAGTAAGTGCGATTTGTACCGGGTCGAGGATGAAGAGAGGGTGATGAAGCGGGCGAAGGAGGCAGCTGAGGCAGAGTGGTGGGAGAATCAGGGCGAGGGTGCACAGAAGGGGTTGAAGAATGAGGTTGGTAAGGGAAAGAGGAATGGTGTGTTTGGGGCTAAGAAGAGAGATTGGGAAGGACGGATTGAAAGGGTCCTAGAGACTTTACTAGTGTGATAGATTTGCATTTCTTATGGCGTTCGTAGGCGAGGATGAGAGATACCCGATATTTGCACTTTCACATTAACTACTCACATATAGTATGTTGTAATCATTCTGCAGGTTTTCTTTAGAAACTGGACCCTACTCTTGGGAAGTATCCCCGTCAAAACGCAACAAAAATAGTCGTTTAAGCTTTGGAGGACGTGAGCGGTTGCATCCACCAAGACACAATCTGTCTTCAAATGTTGATTCTTCGAACAAGCCACCTAGGTCCCTCGAAAACAACTTACAAGAACCCTTGGTTTGGACATTAGCCCTAAAATTCTTTATGAGGTTTCGGCTTTCTTTCCTTCGAACATTGCACCTCGTAGCCGCCTCGTCACGTGGATCAGTTGAAGAGTGCGACAAATCTAAATATGCTGTGGCCATCTGTGGAACTGAATATGTCTCGGGGCCACAAGTCTCTCACATTTTTCCCATGAGTTTTCTGGATCAGAACCGGTGGACTGCAACCTCATATATAAAAGCCTGCACGCGAAGAGGCACATGGGACAAGACGCTGCACAGCATCCTAATCTCCCTCATAAATCTCTCGAAACGCTTCTTGTAGAGAGACACAACACCAACATGTGTATGAGCCCTTGTGCTAAAATTGAAGCGGGCCGCGTACATGGTGCAGTATCTTCTTTCGCTTGTACTAAAAAGACAAGTTCTTCTACTGACTTCAGTGTACACCTTACCAACAATGCGTCAGAGTACATCCAGGAGTGGCCTTTGCCGATCGCATGTGCGGAATAGCTAGAGGACTTCCACAATTCTGGAACTGCATCAACATGACTACAATATCAACTTGAGCAGCACGAATATCTGAGCTCTTTATTTGGATACCAAGACTGCTTGTGTACCTTTGATCACCTCATTTTGTCCTTGGATCTCCGAAACGTGCTCGCACTATCGCTCATGGCTTTCTTCCTCCTCAGGCTTGAACTGTCAACGCATGTTCAACCCTCACCGAAGACTCGAAGCTATGTCGATATGTGCTTCTCCACTCTGACCTCGTCAGTATCTCATTGAAAAAAACGACACGATCGTAACATATCTTTCCCCGTGCTTTGTCAAGTACAAATATCTCTTGCCTGTGACACTTCTCTTCTGTAAAGACGCGCCCCTTCATGAATCGTCAGTGTTAATGAACGTGCCTTGTGGCTTGTGCCTCTCTGAACGATATGCTTCTTGCTCCACGTCAGAACAAAACGCAATAGTGGACAAGTTTGATCCAAGGGCTATTCTGGTGCCGCACGTGGGCACACTTCTGCTCCATTTTCCAAGAAATTCGACACCAGCAAGGGATGCGATGTCTGATTCCTGGTAACCTCATAGCGACCGTTCTACTAGGCTATGCTTGTCTTCTCAAGATCAGACTGATTATCAGGCTTGTGTTTCTTACTCGTAGTGGCATGCCATGACATCTAGCAATCATCAATTTGCTTGTGAAATTGGAGATAGAACATTTGATCACAATTTGTGGCCTCCAGAGACGATCATTACCGATGGCTTATTGACCGCCATATGCTCCTGGCAAATTCAGCTCCAGTACGTTCCCCACTTCCCTTTTCCGCTTATAACATTCACAAACTCTCTCGCCACAACCCTGCTTGTCTGCTCGCTTGGATGAAGAGCATCGAACCACTCGAAGCTATCAGGGCTCGCATTCAACGTGCAATTCTGTCCGGTGACCGTTGCACACGTCTTGCTCGTTCCGGTCACATTGAGCGGCGCAGTACCATTGAGGTACTGGGAAGGATTGGAGTGAATGTCAGTCATAAGACCGTTGACGTTGTAGCTAGCAAAATGAGCGTCCGGGTACTTCTTCGAGACGAGAGCGGCAAAGGGCGTGCGGTACTCGTACACGATATTCAAAGCTGCGACGGTATTCTGCATACGGTAGTGCACATCGGTTTGGTTGCGGCCGTCTGCAGGCCAGAACTGGGTTGCTGTGAGGCCGCCTTGAGAGGGCAGCTGGTATTGAGGAAGGAGTTCGAGGGGCGCCAGGTTTAGGAGAACAAAGTAGCGGCCGCCATTGTTGTACAAGCCATCGACGGTATTGTAGACGCAGTTGATATAGTCCGAGACAGTCTTATTGGGGCGCTGCGAGTTGGTGATGAATGCCTTATTGCCCAAATCCTGTGAAATTAGTATCCAACCCAGATAAGCGAGAAATGGAAACTCACGTTGGTACCGATCCAGATTGCGTAGGCAGTCGTATCTTGTGAGCCGGTAAAGAATGGCTTGCCTGTGGATGGCGAAACGTACTTCGAGTCTGCAATGAAAGCGGGCAATTCGTAGCCTTCAATGTCTGGGAAGTTAGATGTAGGTGATAGCGCGCGGGGAGTGATATTGTTAGAACACACAGCGCCCGAGACCGCGTAATTGTAAAGCTTCGCTGAGGAGTAAATGCTGGCATAGCGCGCCCAAGAAAGACCACCCGAGGCAGTCGCTAGACCCTAGGAGCTGTGAGTAGCTTGTTCTTGTCTCAGCTCCTAGCAGACTTACAACAGGCTGATCCCATCCTACTGGGGGTGCTGAGCCATTGTTTTGGATGAAGTACCCAAGACGGTTCTCGTCCGTATACGAATCCCCAAAGGTGACCAAAGTCTTAATTTTACCCTCTTTCCATACCTGACCTGAGTGTCCGGCTTGTATAGGAGTGAAGGCTGCAGCGGCGGCGAGCAGTTGAAGCAAGATCGTATAGACCATGTTGAGGAGGAACAATTGCCACACTCTAGGCTTTGGTGTCTAAACCTACGGGTATTTATACTGCAGCCATCACGGCCACTAACAAATTTGACACGGGGCCGCCAGACTTTGTTTCCGCCGGCACATATCCCGAGGCTGTTAGCAGGTAATCTACAGTCGACTAGGGCTGGTATCGTGGAGAACCGAGGGGATAATTGAGGGGTTAGCGACGCGGAAGGAGCTGGGAATGATGTCTTGCGCGGTAGCTATGCCTTTCTGGCTGTAGTCGTCTGGAGAACAGCCTAATACACTCAGGCACCGCCATGACGTGAAATTGCGTGAACTGTACGCTGAACCGTTGGGGACTAAGGAACGCTTCCATTGCCAAAGTGTTCCGTGATGGAATTATTGGCTGTCTGGTCAATGACAGCTCGTGGTGACAGGGACGTTCTCGAATTAGACCGAGAATGTTTTGTGCTGAACTACGACAATATTGGAAAGCACAGCAAGCCAGGTATCAGACGCAAACTTGTACGAAGTGGCAGCTCACGCTCTACTTTTGCTAGAGATGCGCTGCTGTTTGCGAGTAATAGAACCCACAAGCAATACCGGTACCGTGCCCGTGCGCGAAACGAGCCAGTTCGCGGGTCGAGCCACCCCGCTATGATTGTGATGTAACTGTCTCAAGTTCAACCCGCTATAACGTACTCCACAAGCGAGCTGGCCACCCAAGCGAGCTGGCCACTTTTGCCAAGACCACACCGAACTTCACTCTCCCTGTAATGCCTCAACGCAACAACGTAAAAAAGCCTTTAAATAAAACACATATACAGCTTGCCCTCTAGGCTATCTAGCAAGACGCGACACTAAGCGTGCAACGCGCTGCAGCAATATACTAGGTCTCTTAAAGCACCCTAGGCACGCGCCTTACTAGAACCTCTTCATAACGCAATTGCAAGCCCAACATGATGAGGATAACTAGTACTAAGGAGGAGGTGATTGTCTAGCATGTATTGAAGCTAGACGAGCGAGGATACCCACCCCAGCTTGCTGATGTGGAGGATATAGCCAATTCTCTACTTGCTGAGTGCCACTAGCCCTATGTTGGCAAGAACTAGGCTGCCAACTTTGTTAAACGTTAGCTAGAGCTTAAAGTTAAATTTAATTATAAGTATAACTATAAGAGAGCTCTATATAAGGATCCTAAGGTAATTAGGGACTAGTTCTAACTAGTAGAGAATACTAAAGCTAAGTATAGTAT